GCAGCAGAAACACCCGCAGCAGCAACAGCAACAGCAGCACCAGGAGCAGCAGCAGCAGCAGCAGCAGCAGCAAAAAGTACTCATACCATTCGATGAAGACAGAGTCATCATGAAACTCAAACTCCTCAGGAGACACCGCAAACTCGGGGCTGCATGCATTTAAAAAGGTCGGAGGGTCTGCTGCAGCCTGCAGCACTTCTTTAAAAACAAAACAAACAAATAATTATATTTAAATAAATAAGTTATAAATGCGTTAAAAAGAAATAAACAGATATTAATTTATTTAAGTATATAAATAAAACAAATATATAACAAATGAATAACAAAGAAAAACAACAACAGAAACAAAACTACACAAATAAACAGAGACAATCAAAAGAAAAACAGACAAAAGGAGACAAATGGAGACAGCAAAGAAAGAGTAAAGAGAGAGTAAAGAGACGGTAAAGAGACAGTAAAAAGACAGTAAAGGGACAGTAAAGAGACAGTAAAGGGACAAAAGGAGACAGTAAAAAGACAGCAAAAAGAGACAGCAAAGAGAGGCTCAAGAGAGAGTAAAGAGACAGTAAAGAGACAGCAAAGAGACAGCAAAGAGACAGTAAAGAGGCAGTAAAGAGACAGTAAAGAGACAGCAAAGAGACAGAAAGGAGACAAAAGGAGACAGTAAAGAGACAGCAAAGAGAGGCTCAAGAGAGACTAAAGAGACAGTAAAGAGACAGCAAAGAGAGGCTCAAGAGAGACTAAAGAGACAGTAAAGTGACGGCAAAGAGACAGTAAAGAGACAGTAAAGAGACAGTAAAGAGACAGTAAAGAGACAGCAAAGAGAGGCTCAGGAGAGATTAAAGAGACAGTAAAGAGACAGTAAAGAGACAGTAAAGCGACAGTAAAGAGACAGTAAAGAGACAGTAAAGACCTTATTTAACCGACCTTCTTTGATGTCCTGCAAGCACCACGTGAAGACGCCGTCAGTCGAAATATTTTCACAGCTCCACTGGATGATCTCAACCCACGGAAAGAAGCCCCCGGCTAATGCATCTATAATAAATAAATAAATAAATAAATAAATAAATATATAAATAAATATAAATATATATATATAATTAGATATTAATGTGTGTATAGTAGTGCATATTCATAAGCAAATGTAAAGGTGTATTTACATGTATATATATCAATACAAAAAAAAAATAAAGTAGCTGTTAATAAACAAACGCAAAGACAAATAAATAAATAAATAAATAAATAAATAAATAAATAAATAAATAAATAAATAAATAAATAATAAATATCAGCATCAGTGCTTCATAATGAGTGATATTCACAACAACAAACACAGAGATATGCCGCAAGCTGCTGCTACTGCTACTGCTACTGCTGCTGCTGCTGCTGCTGCTGCTACGCACCTTGCGAGAGGTCGAGATCTCGGGCCTCTTTTGAGGCCTCACGCCCGACGACTCCCCCCATTTGCTGCGGTGTACAGGCACCTCACAGACCTTCTTATAAAGGCAGCAGCAGCTGCTGCAGCTGCTGCTGCTGCTGCTGTTGCTGTTGCTGTTGTTGTTGCCGTTGCTGTTGCTGCAGCAGCAACAATACGACGAATAGATCCAAAGCAAAGACGAGCGAGGGACTGAGATGACAGCCACAGATGTAAACAGATGCTGCTGTTGCTGCTGCTTCTGCTGCAGTTGAAGCAGCAGCTGCTGCTGCAGTTGGTGAGGACAATGTCGCTGCTGCGGCAGTGGCTGACCAGCAGTTGCTGCTGCTGCAGCTAGATACGCAGCAGCAGCAGAAACAACAACAGCCGCAGCAGTAACTGCTGCTTGTTGATTTGCTGCAGCTCTGGCTGCAGAGGAGGGGCCCCTTGGGTATACAGCGTTTGAGTCGACTCCGCTGCAGCAGCAGCAGCAGCAGCAGCAACAGCAACAGCAGCAGCAGCAGCAGTTCTCAGCCCGCAAGTTATATGAAGAAAACAACTGCTTTAATGAATAGCTGCTGCAGAGGGTCACTCTTCTACAGCAATAGACCCCATACACAAAATCCAGCAGCAGTAGCAGCAGCAGCAGCAGCAGCAGCTGCAGCAGAAGAAGCAGCAGCAGCAAGGGCGCTGCAGTAGTATTTCTTTACGATATTGTTTATATAATTTAATTTAATTAATAATATTTATATACAAATAAAACGCAGACAGCAGCAACTATGAAGATTGATGGGGCTGCCTGGGCCCCTTGTCTTGAGGCCCCCGTTAGCTGAGGGTTTAGGGTTGAGGGTTTAGGGTTTAGGGTTTAGGGTTAGCTCTGTCCAGCTACAACCCCAGCAGATATTATCTTTATTTGCTTAATTGTTGCTGTTGACGTTTATTTTATTTGTTTACTTCGTCCAGTCTATACTTTCTACTTCCGCCTTCTGAGGGCCCCCAAACCCTAAACCCTAAACCCTAAACCCTAAACCCTAAATCCTAAACCCTAAACCCTAGGCCTTGCTGCAATGGCGCAGGAGGGCCCCTACGAAGCTGTCGGGGGACCCCTATGGCTATGTGCCATAGGCCGGTCTTGTTGAAGGGTTTAGGGTTTAGGGTTTAGGGTTTAGGGTTTACAGGAAGATAATGAGGAGACCTCCTTTCATCTCCCTTGCCCTGCTGCTGCTGCTTCTGCTGCAGCTGCTTCTGCTGCAGCTGCTGCTGCTGCCTGCTGCAGCTGCAACTGCAGCAGCAGCGCGCGCTTGTGGGGGCTGCACCAGCAGCTCCAGCAGCAGCAGCAACAACAGCAGCAGCAGCAGCAGGAGGAGCAGCAGCAGCAGGAGCAGCAGCAGCAGCAGCAGGGCTTTGTCTTTTTGTTGTTCCGGAGTCTTAAGTGGCAGCAGACAAAGCCCAAGAAGGGATCTGCTGCTGCTGCAGCAACAGAGACAGCAGCGTTGCTGCTCCGGCTTCCTTGTTGCTGCAAAGCCAGCAGCAGCAACACTTAGGGGGCCACAGCAGCAGCAGCAGCAGCAACAGCAGCAGCTGCTGCTTCTGCGCGCTGCTGCTGTAGGGGATGCAGATGAAGCAGCTGGGCTGTCCGAAGCAAAGCAACAAGAAGAGCAGCAGATGCAAAACGATGCCGCCAGCAGCAACAGTAGCAGCGGCAGTAGCAGCAGCAGCAACAGCAGCAACAGCAGCAGCAGCGACAGCAGCAGCAGCAACAACAACAACACCAACAGCGCTGATGCCTCAGATCAGATTTTCTGCTCCGTGAGCGAATGCAATGAGCAGGGAGCAGCAGCAGAAGCTTCGGCTGCTGCTGCAGCAGAAGCTTCGGCTGCTGCTGCTGCTGCAGTGGAGCCATCTGACGCGCAGCAGCAGCAGCAGCAGCAGCACGATGCACAGGAGGAGAAAGAGCTCAGGGACGATGCAGCAGGACACCAAACAGCAGCAACAGCAGCAGCAACAACAGCAGCAGCAGCAGCAGGCGAGGCTTCTCATGGGTACGATCCCCTAGCAGCTCAGGAAGCTGCTTCGCTGGAAGCTGCAGCAGCAGCAGCAGGCACATCTTTATCTGCTGTTCGTTCGGTGCTGCCTCTGTGGCGTCTCTCGTTTTCTACATTTCTAACCCCAAACAGCAGCAGCAGCAGCAGCAACGGCAGCAGCAGCAGCAGCAGCAGGAGCGATTCTGTGTTGTCTTTGTGCGTACCTGGTGCTGAAGAGTTTAAGCGAGGGTTTGCTTTATTATCCCCTCCTGTTAGTGCTGCATCTCCGGTGTATAGGCAGCTGAAGCAAAGACGAGAAAAAGACAGAAGACGCTTCTTCTCGTGGCAGCGATCTGTTGCTGCGCTGCAGCAGCAGCGGCTGCGCATTTTTCAAGGTATGTTTGCTGCAGAAGGAGACATATTTTCTCCTTGTGATGATATAGGAGATATGCAGCGAGAGAGAGAGCAAGCAGCAGCAAGGAGACTGCTGCAGCAGCAGCAGCGCAGCAAACAACCTAGATGGTGGATCCCTGCACGCACAATTAAGGCTCGTAGGGCCCGGAGAGCAGCAGCAGCAAAACTCAAAAAGCAGTTGCTGCTGCAGCAAGCTGCAGCAGATCGCAGACTCCGAAAACAGCAGCAGCAACAGCAGCAGGGGCAGCAGCAAGGGCAGGAAGAGTCTCCTTCTGCTGCAGCAGGAGCAGCAGAAATGAGTGCGGATGCTCTGACACAGCAGCAAAAGGAGACAATTATAAGGAGACGACTGCAGCACCAGCGGCAGCTGCTGGGTTTGCCTCCGCTAAAGACAGCAGCAGAGAAAGCAGCAGAGAGTTTCTTTATTAAAGAGAGTGTACGCATTGCAGATGCATTTCAAGCTATTACTGACGAGTAAGAAAAACACGATCCCACGGAGACGATCCCAGGGGGACGATCCCAGAGGAGACGGTCCCAAGGGAGACGATCCCAAGGGAGACGATCCCACGGGAGACGATCCCACGGGAGACGATCCCACGGGAGACGATCCCACGGGAGACGATCCCAGGGGAGACGATCCCACGGGAGACGATCTCTTTTTGTTGTTGGCGCCTCTCTCTGTCTCCTTTCTGCTGACGATGAATGCTGTCTCTGTTTGTGGGGTCTCTGCAATATGTTGTTGTTTTAGTCGGTCTCTGTTTGTTTTTCTTTATTTATTTATTTATTTATTTTATTTATTTATTTATTTATTTATTTATTTATTCGTCTTTGTCTGTGCGTGACGTCGGCAATTTTTAATTTTCGATTTTATTCTCTGCTGTCTTTTCTTTTGCTTCATCTTGGCTGTCTCCTTTTGTCTCCTTTTTGTTTATTTGTGTCTCCTTTAGTTTATTTCTGTCTTCTCCTTTAGTACATCTTTATTTAATTTTGCGTCTCTCTTTATTTCAATCTCCTTTTTCTATCTTTGTTAGTCTTTTGTTGTCTCTCTCTCAGTGTGGAGTGTCTATTCCTGTGCTGCTGTTCCCGCTGCTGCTGCTGCTGCTGTCCCTGCTGCTGCTGTTCCTGCTGCTGCTGCTGCTGCTGCTGCAGGATGGAGCGAGCTAGCGTTGAGGTGTACGGGGAGTTGCGAGCAATAGAAGAGGATGCCTCTCTGTGTTTCGACGAAAAGAACTTTAAATCTCTCGAGTGGAGACAGAGACTCAGAGCTATTCAGCAGCCCTATCTAAAGAGACAGCTGCCTATCGTATACAGGGCTCACCTACTCATGGGTATGCACTCGTGCTGCTGCTGCCGCTCTTGCTGCTGCTGCTGCTGCTTTCGCTGCTGCTCTTTCTGCTGCTCGTGCTGCTGCTCTTGCTGCTGCTCTTGCTTTTGCTGCTGCTCGGGCTGCTGCTCGTGCTGCTGCTCGTGCTGTTGCTGCTGCTGCTGGTTGGGAGGCAAGAAGAAGTATTTTTTAAAGGCGTTGCTTGTTTGTTTTTTCTGAGTCTTCGCGCCGCTGCTGCGGGTCCCAATGCGCCTGTTTAGGGTTTAGGGTTTAGGGTTTAGGGTTTGTGGGTGTTTAGGCCTTCCGGGTGTCCCCGCATACAGCTACAAAAACCCTTTGCTGCCTGAGGAGGCGCAGGAGACAGCGGAGGCCCCCGCAGGTTTTGTGTCTCCTTCTCTTCCTGTCAGTCGCAGCTGGCTGTCTCCTGACTGCAACTTTGCTTTATTTCCTTTGTATGCAACGCCAGAGCAGCAGCAGCAGCAGCAACAGCAGCAGCAGCAGCAGCAGCAGCAGCAGCCTTTTGTCCGTGGCTATAGACCGCCGATCCCCACACCCAAACCCTCTGACCTTAAGACTACACGTGATGCTGCTCAGCTAGCAGCAGCAGCAGCAGCAGCAGCACGAATAGCAGCGCAGCAGCACTTGCCTCCCCCACCGCAACTACCTCCCCCAGAAGAAGAAACGGAGACACTTGTTTGGGACCTCCGTGTACGCAAGGCGTGGAGACAGGCTATCTATAGCAGCAGCAGCAACAGCAGCAGCAGCAGCAGCAGCAGCAGCAGCAAAGAGAAGCAACGCGAAGACTGCCACGACCTGCAGCAGCAGGAGGACAACGAAAGCTCCAGCGGGCCCCAGGAGATAGCAGAAGAGACAGCAGCAGAGACAGCAGAGGAGGCAGCAGCAGAGACAGAAGAGGAGACAGCTGAGGAGACAGCTGAGGACAACCGCATGCAAATAATCTACGGGAGGAAGACAGCCAAAGCTATCAACTCAAAGAGCGGCATCACACATGAATGGAGGGTACTGCTGCTGCTGCTGCTGCTGCTGCTGTTATTGTTGCTGCTGCTGCTGCTGTTGTTGCTGCTGCTGCTGCTGCTATTTTGCTCACAGGGGGCGTCAGCATGAGAAGGCGTCTTGCTGCTGTTTGTTTACAGTCTGCTGCTTGCTGTCTCTGTTTCTCTGTTTCTGCTTTTTGTTTTATTTAAGTGTCTCCTTTCGGGCTGTCTCTGTCTCGTGGGCTTTGCTTTTGTCTGTCTCTGTTTGTTTGTTTCTGCTGTCTCCGTCTGTTATATCATTTCTGCTGTCTGCTGTCTCCTTTCTTCTGTCCCCTGTATCTTCTGTCTCCTTTCTGCTGCTGCTGCTGCACATAGATGCATATATATATATATACATATAAATATATAAATAATTAAATAATATATATATATATATATTTATTTATTTTTATTTGTTTTTGCTGCAGTTCTCTCAACTGGGCGCTGGGCGTCGCACTGGAGAGTATACACTTCACTTAAATAATTTAATTAAAACAAAAAATAAAAAAGCAAAACGAAAAGGAAGAGGAGACGGCAGCGGCAAAGGAGGCTCAGCAGGAAGAGGATGCAAGGGACAGAAAGCAAGAGCAGGGGGCTCTATTAAGATAGGTAGGTATTATATATATATATATATGTATATATATATTTGTTTATATATATATATATATACATATATATATTTGTTTGTATATATATTTGTTTATATATATATATGTTTAGATAGTTATTTAGATATATATATATGTATATATGCATATATATATATATATATATAGATATATATATATATATATTTATATA